GACTGCCGCTACTGGCTGGGGCCTGTGGGCTGGGGGAAGCTCCTCTGTTGAGCGTCTGCTCCCTGGTGGTCAGTGCATGTCATAGAGATCAGTTGTTCTGCCATTCATTCTATTTGCATATTAGGCTTTTATTATATAGGATTGAAAACACTTACATCTCATTTTTAAAAGACTCAATAATATACAAAATATATAAGGAATTCATACAACTTAACAAAAGGAAGACAAACAATACAATTTAAAAATGGGCAAAGGACCTAAATAGACACTTCTCCAAAGTGGACACACAGATGGCCAAAGAGACATATGAAAAAATGCTCACAGTCACTGAGCATCAGAGATACAAATTAAAATGGCAATGAGGTATCACCTCACACCTGTAAGAATGGCTACCATCAAAAAATCAACAAAGAACAAATGCTGATGAGGATATGGAAAAAAAGAGAACCCTAGTACACTGCTGGGGTGCAGCCATTATGAAAAATAGTTTGAAGTTTCCTCAAAAAATTAAATCTGAAAATGCCATTTGACCCAGTGATCCCACTTCTAGGAATATATCTTAAGAAACCTGAAACACCAATAAGAAAGAATGTATGCATCCCTATGTTCATAGCAGCACAATTTACAATAGCTAAGATCTGGAAGCAGCCCAAGTGCCCATCAGTAGATGAGTGGATAAAAAAGCTGTGGTACATTAATACCATGGAATACTGTGCAGCAGTTAAAAGAAGAATCTCGTACCCTTTGAGACAGAATGGGGAGACCTGGAGAGTATCATGCTAAGTGAAATAAGTCAGTCAGAGAAAGACAAGTATCACATGATCTCACTCATATGTGGCATCTAAGTAACAAAATAAACTGATAAACGGAGTGGATCCAGAGACATGGAAGCATGGAACAGAGTGGGGCATCTCAGAGGGAAGGTGGGGGAGGTGGATGCCTGGGAGGCAATCAACCAAAGATCTTATATGCATATATGCATAACCCATGGACACAGCCAATAGGGTGTGTGGCAGGGGTGGGGCAGGCTGGAGGGAGTCCATAAGGGAAAAAAGGGGACATATGTAATACTTTCAATAATAAAGAATTATTTTTTAAAAAACTCAAATTAAAACTTTTTAACTAAAAGCAGTTTATGACAAGTAGTTATGTCCTAGGCTAGAATCTTCCCTGACAAAAGTCAATCTTTACCTTAATTAAGCCTGTCTATCGTCTTTTGCATTGGCTATAACAAACCTTTGGAATGTTAGTGTAAAGCCCCTTTATATGCATAACCCATGGACACAGCCAATAGGGTGTGTGGCAGGGGTGGGGCAGGCTGGAGGGAGTCCATAAGGGAAAAAAGGGGACATATGTAATACTTTCAATAATAAAGAATTATTTTTTAAAAAACTCAAATTAAAACTTTTTAACTAAAAGCAGTTTATGACAAGTAGTTATGTCCTAGGCTAGAATCTTCCCTGACAAAAGTCAATCTTTACCTTAATTAAGCCTGTCTATCGTCTTTTGCATTGGCTATAACAAACCTTTGGAATGTTAGTGTAAAGCCCCTTTTTTTTCCAAACCCCTCAGGGCACAACCAATGCACCAGGGAAGAGACCATAAATCTTCCCATTGTTATTATTATCATGTTCATTGTTCACTGTTAACTATCCTATACCCACGTAGGTAAAAGATGTCTCTTATTATTTTACTTTTTATCCAATCCCAGAGTTTTCCCCACTTTGCTTTCTCCAGCCTCCCAAATCTATCACCAACGGATGTCTTGTGACCCACTTGTGTCTTCTGTTTTGATTGTAATGTATAAAGTAAGGTGAAACACTGCCATTCTCTGGAACATTTTCCCAATGCCTTGAGATTTTGCTTCCAGGCAGTTGTCAACAGTTTGGCTCAAATAAACTCACAAAAATTCTTCAGATGTCTGACTGTTTCTTGCATTGACAATACATAGTTTGTAAAATCAGGGAGCCAGGCTGTCTGGCCATAATCCCCACTTTTAACTGTACTAGTATATGGGGTGCTTGCCCTGCAGCAGGATAGGTCTTCCCTGAGCTTGTCGGGTTACAGCCGTGGGCAAACTACGGCCTGCGGGCCATTTGAAATGAATAAAACTATTGAAAAAAAAGACCATACCCTTTTATGTAATGATGTTTACTTTGAATTTATATTAGTTTACACAAACACTCCATCCATGCTTTTGTTGCGGCCCTCCGGTCCAGTTTAAGAACCCATTGTGGCCCTTGAGTCAAAAAGTTTGCCACCCCCCCCCCCCTTAGCATGTGGCCCCTTTTCGTCCACACTTTGTTATAGCGTTTTGCAAACACTCTTTATCAGATTAAGGAAGTTCCTTTTATCTATCCTTATTGAATTTTTAACATAAATAGAGGCTGAATTTTAGGTGAAGTTTTTGGGGTTTTTTTTTAGCGTCTTTCAAAAAATTTATATGGTTTTACTCCTCTAAACCTCGAATGCTGTGATTTACAGTGATTTTTCTACTGTTAAACTGTGTTTCTGAAATAAATCCATTTTTATGAAAAAAAAAAAAGACTCAATACAAAGAGTGGTTATCACTCACATAATCATAGGAAAGTGAGACCACAGAGGCAAACGTAGGCAGTGCTGACCAAGCTCTCTCCTGGTGAAAAGGAGTCTTAGCCAGCAGATTTTGAGTTTGACATTTCTGGGCCATGGCTATTCCCATGGTAGAGGTGAATGTCCTATTTTGCCCCAACATGGCATACAGGTCATTGGATGGACTCTCCTCTAGCTCCAATTCTGTGCTCCTCAAGCCTGGTTATTGATTGGTTTGCTAAAAGATTTGTCTGTTGGAATACAATCTGACGGTCAAGCTGATGAGTATTTTGATTTCTGGGATAGTTGTCTTTGCAATTACAAGTTAATATGTCATTCTCATCAACACATCAGTCTCATTAGCTGTGAATATGAGACCTCTTCTGAGAAGCAGATGCTCCCTCAGTAGGCCCACAGAATCAAGTCTCCCAGCCTGAAAGGCTGAGGTCTAAACCTTGGAACTTGGAAAATTCTGCTGTAAAGATACCTCCAGAAAGACAGTGGATTCCCTTGTCTGAGAGACTTACTTGCCCATTATACATGCCATGTACCCTTTCTTCAAACTCTTCTAGTTGGTACTTAAATTAGGTAAGAACTAAGTTGCTTTCTCCTTGACTTATTGAGGATTTAACACGCTAAAGTTAGAACTACAAATGGTATGGTTCCTTTCTCAAGTAAAATAGACAAAAAATTTAAGGTCTCAACTGTGAACTACGACTTGGTCTTAGGCGTAGGTCATTTATCAAAGAAAATTAACTAAGCAACCAAGAAGCGATTTCAAAACAACAAAATTATTTTTTCACTTCTCAAAATTTGTCAAAGGGAATCAGTCCCAGCAACAATTACCGTATTTGCCGGCGTATAAGACGACTGGGCGTATAAGACGACCCCCTAACATTTCCACTCAAAATACAGTGTTTGTTATATACTCGCCGTATAAGACTACCCCCTCTTCCGCACACCTTCCACACACCAAATAAAAGGTAAAACAATATCAGATTTGATTTTAACATTTTAATTTATATTCAAATGCTTATGACATGCAGGAAAACTGTCACAAGGCTGTATGTAATCAAACATATACATAAAACAGTGCAAGTTTATTACCGGTAAACATACCGGTAATGCACTAAAGAAAACACACTCTATAGACTGGTACCGTAGATGCTTCTCAGGAACACAGGCAAGCAGCCCACAACCTAGAGGGACTGTCAATGATAGAAGTAAGATAACAAATAGAGGGAGAGAGCAAGTGCCGGGCAAGTCCCTAGCAAGTTTGCTGGCGTGACAGTTTCACCTTAAAAGCCTTCAAACTCCTCTTCATCATCTGATATTAAAAGTTCATCAACGACATCTTGGTGCCATGATAGGGATGATAGGGGTTTGACTGGTCGACATTTTCTATGCTGTACTGTACAATGGGGTAGTCTTGTGGTTGGCCGTTGGCTGTATACAAAGCCTGATTTGATTGGTCCCTGCTCCCTGTTTGCCCGCCCTGTCACTATAGCAGTCTGGTCCACCCTTGCATCAGCATCTCCCTGGGACCTCACTAGTGCGCAAGTGCGAGCTCTTCAACATTCTAACAGGCACCATGATAGCGCAAAATCGCGAATCTTCAATGCATATGTAAAGAAATATACGGTAACCCGAATTTACCACACTCGCAAAATCGCAGAACAGCCGAGCATACACCCAGCAGCGCTGCTGATGCCTGAACGGTATGTGGAATGAAGTGGGCGGGCATCGGGAGGCCACTATGGCACGGGGCAAGCACTATGGGCAGTCTATCTGAAGTGTACCTGGCGTAT